ACAGAAAGTCTCCATTGAGAGTGATGATCAACCTTCAATCCTGAATCCTAATTAAGTTGAAACCCAACAAAACTAGAGGACTGAAGGGTGGAGATTGAGCTCAATGGAAGAGCACTTGCCTGGCAAGTACAAGGCCCTGAGTTCAGTCCTCAGCTGGGGGAGGGAAGAGGAAAGGAAAGCCAGGAACCAAGGGCTCACACCTATAATCCTAGCTACTCAGGAGGCTCAGATCTGAGGATCACGCTTCTAAGCCAACCCCGGGCAGGAAAGTCTGTGAAACTCTTATCTCCAATAAACCACCAGAAAAGGAAGTGGTGCTATAGCCTTGAGCTAGTAGAGCACTAGCCTTGGGCTGAAGAGCTGAGGGATAGCACCCAGGCCCAGAGTTCAAGACCCATAACCGACAAAAAAAAGACACAACAGGACTGAAACGGAATTAATGTGAAAGTTCCTATTAATTAACTAACATGAATTAATTTAAGGAAGACAGTAACCATTTTACTTGGCTATTTCTTCAAATAGCTTCCTCTGCTAGTAAAAATTTGTGTCTCCAATAATGCTTAGAGGAAAATGAGAGTCACAACCAGCCTCTGTGCTCAACAGGAATGAGTTAGCCTAATAAGGATGGATAGATATTTAATCTGGATCCTCTTTTTCTCTCTTTGCATGAGGGACCATAAGAGGCTAGCTTCTTTTTTTTTAACAAAATAAATACTTGGGCAGAACATTATGAAAAGGAATTAAAAACTCCATAGAAAATAAGAAAGATAAGCCTGAAAGCAGTAAAAGTAGGAGACAGAATTCAAATTGCAGCATTTAGTTTTAAATCTGATGATACTCTTGTTTCTTAGGCCAATGGTATTGGTGACAGCTGGAAACAGGACTTCATGAATTATAAAGAGACAAATGGTTGAATCTAGAAAATTAAGACTATAGAACTTGTGAGCAGGACAAAAAGGGGAAAATGAGGGAGAAGGAAGAAGGGGTGACATTGTCAAGAAGCATTGCACTCGTAACCTGACTTAGGGAATTGTAGCCCCTTTGAACAACTAATTAAGAATTTAAAAAAAAACTAGAAAAGAGAGAGGGCAGAAATGCTCAGAAAGACCACTTCTGACCAATGACAAGAAAACCCCATCTCCAGATCTTCTGTGATGCAGTCAGAAGTGGCTACTTGAGCACAGAACTTCTTGTGTTATTCAGGACCCTCTAAGAAGCAGGAAGCTAGGAAAGCTCTATATCTAGAGGAAGATTTAGGAGAAAAAAGTAAAGAGAGCACCTTGGGAGGGTATTTAACTGTCGTTGGTGAAGCAGGTTGATCCCAGGAGCACGAGGCTGGGAAAGAAGGAAGACTGAGTAGAGACATGGAAGGCTGCAGTGCAGCTGTAGAGAAAGCTGACCACTGCTGGCCAGCAGGTGGCTGAGGAATGAGTGGCCTTTACCGTCCCTGTGGTGTTTAATCAAAGGCAGAATGGGAAGGGGAGGAGGTAACAGCCTCTGGACCCACGAGCCAACTGAAATGAGGAGGGTCACCTTGCTGCTTCAACTCCCAGAATCCAGTTTTCCACTCTCCTGGCCTGGTATTTCTTGGAATCTCCAAAGTTTAATTCTGTCTGCCACTGAGAATTACATACCACCCGGTAAAGAAAAGTCCATTATTTTATACATCACTAAGAAAAACGCCAATTAAATCTGGGTATAATCACTTCACAGCACTTAGTACGTTCTATTTATTAAAAAGGCACTTAAGGAGTTAGCTACGTTTCAACCCATATTTGAAGCTATTAAAAGAGGAAAGAAGCTATGTTTGTTATCTACAACCTTTCAGAAACCAATGCCTCTCAATCATTATTCACCTTGGTCACCAAAATCCAGTTTCGCCCACTCATTTTCCTCCATGCCACTGGAATGTTAGAGATCATTTTAATTTTCTTTTTATCATGGTACCAGGGTTTGAACTCAGGACCTTTATAAGCAAATACCCTACCACTCTAACCAAATCCCTGGTTTCAATTTAAGTTTGTTTTTTTTTTTATAAGGTCCTGCACTTTAGCTCAGTACTGGCCTTTCACTGTGATCTTCCAACCCTAGACTCTTATAAAGCTGGGATTACAAGCCTGCACTACCATACCCAGACCATAGATAACTCTTTGTGTGTACACATGCATGCATTTAGAGAGGGAGAGGGAGTGTGTGACTCTGTGTGTGTGTGTGACTCTGTGTGACTGTGTGTGTGTGTGACTGTGTGTGTGTGTGTGTGTGTGTGTGTGTGTGTGTGTGTGTGTGTGTACTCAAGGGAGAACAGATTCCTTGGAAGCAGAGAACAGGCCCCGAGGATATGAAATACAGGAAACGCAAGTTGCAATGGGGAAGTAGAATCTGATGACGAGAGGACTCAGAGGCACAGATGATGATGAGTCAGGGAAGGAGACTCTGAGTCATCAGACACGACCTCACACTTCTAGAAGGGCTTCGGGAGAGGAGTCCAGCCTCTGATCTAAGATAATTCTGATTCATTCTAATACTTTGGTTTGAGTTAGTCTTAACTGCAATATTTATAGGATTCTATGTAGGCCAAAATTGAACTCTCAAAGGATCATTTCTGACAAGTAAGTTTTAAAATAGCATCCATATGAGTCAGTTGTAATGGGTTTACAGGGGGGAAAATTAATTACCTGAAAAAAAAACCTATGTTGTCAGAAGTTGACGGTCAGTTCCAAGGAGCAAGTCTCCATCAAGTTGGTGTCATGGACAACTTTCAAGCCAAACTAGGAAAGCTGTTTTTGGGTAAGTTCAAGATATACTCCCCCAAGTCCTGAACATGCCTGTCAAACAGAAATCCACAGAAAACTGTTTCCTTTCATCTGTAGAACTGACTCAAACACATTTGATGCCAGGCACCAGTGCCTCACACCTGTCCCCTTAGTTACTCAGGAGGCTGAGATCTAAGGATCACAGTTCGAAGCCAGCCCAGGCAGGAAAGTCGAGAGACTCTTTATCTCCAAATAACTTCCAAAAAGCTGGATACGGCACTGTGGCTCAAAGTGGTAAAGCACTAGCCTTGAGCACAAAAGCTCAGATACAGTGCCTAGGCCCTGACTTCAAGCTCCAGGACTGGCACAAAACACACACACACACACACACACACACACACACACACAGTGTATCTGTTATTATAATTATAAATATGATAATTTTCTAAAATTAAATTAAAATCATCTCTCCAGTGCAATTGCATGCTTTAGGTTATTTATCATATGCATGAACTCACACTTTACAAACAATATTTTGACACCCAATATTTTGACACCAATTGAAAATTCCTAATAGGAACTTGTTCCACTAAAACAAACAAACTAGATAAAATCTCTAATCCTTGGAAATGACAAGTGAAAGTCTGGCTTCCAAGCCTATTTTAACTTCCTAATTGGTGTGAAGTCATCAACAAAAAAAACAAAACAAGATATAGTAAGGGTATCTAACTTTGAGAAAGATCTAGCTCTGAGGCCAGGACTGTTCAGTGAGACCACAGCCAATGGCTCTCAGTGTAGTTTACCACAGGATCACCTCGGAGCAGGCCAACAGCTGCAGTAGAGTGCACTGCGGAAAGAATGTCAAGAAGATTGCTCCCCTTAGGTAAGACACGTGCACTCACTTTCACACACACACACACACACTCACACATTACAATATAAAAACAATTCAAGTATGATTTTAGTAATGTTACAAAATACTTGAAAGAAAAACAGTCATTTCATGAAACAAAAATCAACATTACAAGTTATGCAAAGTGAAAGATCTCACTGCAAGCTGCTGACCAGCAGCGGGTAGGAGGGCTAGGAAGGAGAAATAGGTGGGGGGGGGAGAAGTGAGGGGGAGCTAACAAGGAGAATGAATAGGGACTAGACTGTTCACAACTATGAAAACAGGACAATGAAAGCAATGAAAGGGGGAGTGACCAAGGCGGTGAGATTGGTTGAAATAGAATGAACATGTATGGAAATGTAACCGTGAACCTCTTCCCCCATAACCAATGTGAGCTAAGTTTAAAAAAAAAAAAAGTTATGCAAGGGATTGGAGCCCAATGAAAGAATGAGGAAGAAGGAGAGAAGCCAGGAGGGTCAGGGAGGAAAAAAGAACTGATTCCTGGCCTGTACCTGATCAATGCTCAAGACGCTCCGGCCTACAAAGGAACATGGCTGGGGATATCACCCACGATGCCTTCCTTGGCCAGGTATTTTTTAAAGGGCGGTGTCTGAGACAGAGAGAGTCGATGTGAAATATATGTCTTGAAAGCCAGAAGAGTCTGTCTGCATGAAGCCACCATGCCCAAATGGGGACTGTCCGGCCTCAGCACGGGGGATGATGACAGAGAGGCATGAAGCAGCATGGTCTCAGACAGCTTCGGCACTCTGTGAGGCTCTCTGCCTCCTTCCTCCCTGCAGCTTTCCTGATACTCCAGGCCTCAACCACATCTGTGCTCTGATTCCCCGAGCATGCACTGGAGGCTAGCAAGAGGACACATGCACAGAGGTAAATGCATGCGGAGAGGCTTTTTAAAGGACACCACAGACCTGCAGCACTATTTTTAAAGGCAGTAAGATTCCTGGGCGGCTGCCCACCGCCAGTAAGTACAACACGTCCTGACATGCCAGAGAGAACATCTCCAGAATGCTGGTGGTGAGCTCGTCCCTCGGAACACACGCAGAGCGTGCTCCGTGGGCACGCCCCAGCCCCAGTGCCAGGTGTCTGCTTCATAGCTGGCAGCACCATCACTGCAAACTACTCACTTGAAAACCCTGCCCTGAGAAAGACCATATAAAATGGGAGACTTGTCCAGCACCCGACCAGTCAAGTCTCACCCTGGAACCTGGTCCACGGCTCTTGCTGCTAGGTGCCTTCCTCTACCCACGGATGCCGCCATCAACCCCTCTGCCAGAACCAGCGTCTAAGCCCACAGCTTCCCCCTTTGAAATCTGCCTTCTTTACTGTCTACTCACCATAATTTCTCTCTGTTCTTCTAGGTTCTTCAAAAAGTTTGAAAACTCACGTAAGGACGCATCTGTAATGAGAAAGGAGTGAGTGTGCGGTGGCCCAGACAGAGGAAGCAAACCACGACCCCGGGCTCACATACCTATGCAGCGTTCGTCGTCCGTCTCCGCATCACCGATGAACTCAAATTTAAAGTCTCTGAGTGAGTGAGCAAACTTGCGCTGTGCTGCAGAAAGACCTGGAAAGAAAGGCACATCCATGACTAGGGTCCTCATTTTAAGCCAGCTGTGCTTTCTTTTTGGCAATTAAGTCATTGGGATATTTATGAGACCATTCCCAGGTCACACCAAATTATCACTATAAGCAGATGGCCCTCGGGCAGCTAACAAGCAGCAGCATATAAGAAGTACACCCATCTGTTTCACCATGTACAACATGACTTTGTGGGTTCATACAGCCCAAGGGCCAGACATTCCCTGCCTGCTTCAATCTAATGCCTTTAAGGAAAATGTTACACTGCTAAGACGAGATGGAGAGCTCCCCTCCCCTCCATTTTGAGAAGGAACAACCATGCTTCCACCATCTTCTACCTGGCATACCCTCTGGGCGGCCTCTGTTCTATTCCATGCCCTGGTACAGATTCCTGGGGAATCATTTATTCCCTCACCCACTAGTTCTTCCCCAGATCTATTTCACCTCATTTCCCTAAAGCCCTTATACCCTGTCCCTGCTCACTCAAGTCAGAGCTTGCCTGCTCCCAAAGTTCAAGCTAGGATTAGGAGTGCCCATACCTGACAGTCCTGTCAGAGTTTCATGAGACCAGACTGCCAACCACAGCTTCAAGCAGAGGGTGTGCAAAACTCAGCCAGCCAGTGCCCCAACTGACCAATAGTCACCACAGCCAGAGAAACCCCAAAGGATTACCAAGAATGTTCATGGTAAACAGCACCAGGGAGCTAGGTAACTGAAGGCCAAGATTAAATGGCACACAAAGCAATTCTACAAAAGAATACGCATCATCATCTAGAGATTAAGAGAATCACGGCAAACGACTTCTTAAATAAGCCTACAGATGAGCGTGACTCAGTGGTAAAGCAAGAGCTAGCAAGAGGCTTTGGTGTGATGACTTCTAAAGAAATAGATAATGTGCAGAGTCTAATAAACTCTGACTGGGTTAGAATTCAAGACATAAAAGATAGAGGTTAAGGACATATCTACAAGACACATATATTTACTAGACATCAATGGAGAAAGTCAAAACCCTAGTTAAAAACAAAAAGTTGGACACAACTGAAGTGACACTTCACAGAAGTAAATTCAAATAGCCTACAGCCACATAAAAGGTACTTGAAGTCAAAAGCAATCAAAAACCCAAAAATTAACATTTCCAGACTCCTCAATACAACACTCATGCAACTGGCAAATGTTAATGACACTGGCAGCTCCAAGAGCTGAGATGACTCTGTGTGAGGAAACAACTGTTTACACTGCCAGAGAGGGGGAAACCCTGGCATAATTACTTTTTTCATCAGTGTGCCATTTCCTGGTAAATCTGACTATGTCCTACAACCCAGAGATGTTGGTAAATTTCTCAGAGAAAACTCTCGCACATGAGCAAGAGTACTCGTAGCCATGTACTAGAAAATCCACAGCGGGACTCAGCACTGTGACAGTCAAAGACAAGCCAGGGGCAGGAGACTCTCTTACGTGGAGTTCAAAGTAAGCTAAGGAATTCCTGTACGCCGCAAATCTGGGTCACAAAGTTATGGAGCTGCAAGTGAATCATGATCGCATGCCAGGCAGGGTTTCACTTCTATGTGAAGGCAAGTGATACAGCTGGATCTTTGCAGGGATTATTTGAGCTCATAATCTCACTGGAGTAAAGAGAATCTAAGGATAGATACTTGTTGTACAATTTTGCAGAACTGTACCATGTCTTGAAAGTAGGTTGCTGGGTATCAGACCCAAGGAGGGCCTTACCCATGGTAAATACACCTTATACTCACTGAGCTACAAGGTAGCTGAGGTGGCAAGGTAAGTGTTGGTATCATCCTTTTGTCAACACACACACACACACACACACACACACACACACACAGAGCCAGGGAAGCAGTGACACTGTCCTTAAACAAATATACTCTTTACCTGACATATAATTGTAACCCCTCTGTACATCACCTTTATACTAGCAAAAAAAAAATTAAAAGATACACATACAAATGAGGTAAGTCACATTCAAGGTAAATTAGCGGCCGGGTGCCGGTAGCTCATGCCTGTAATCCTAGCTACTCAGGAGGCTGAGATATAAGGACCACAGTTCAAAGCCAGCCTGGGCAGGAAACTCCATGAGCCTCCATCTCCAATAAACCACTAGAAAAGCAAAAGTGGTGCTGTGGCTCAAGTGGTAGAACAGTCACCTTGAGCTGAAGAGCAGAGGGTCAGCACCCAAGCCCAGAGTTCAAGCCCCATGACAGACCAAAAAAAAAAAAAAGAAAAGATAAATTAGCAAGTTGACCAAGGTCACAGAGCCCTTCAGACAGCCAGCAGTAAGGACCAGGTCTCGAGGGTCTGGTACTTCATGAAAGTCCTTTCGTAACACCACTGTGCCTCTCAGGACAGTTCACCATCCCCAGTTCCTTTGTCTAGACCTCACTTGACAGGAAACTGTTCTCTTCTCTACATGACTCTAATCTAGAATTCTACTAAATGAAAATTCATAGGCATTTCCTCCATGACCCATCCCTCACCTCTATGAATCCCTGAAGACCCCAAGTGAACATGCTCTGAACATCCCTTCAAAGCTGGTATACACTAGGGGGCTCATGTCAAGCCTGACTGTGCACAAAAAGCATACCCAATTTCAGTAATAAACAGAGCTTGATCTTCAAATGAACTTGCCACTACTGCACAGTTTTCCAGGCCTGTGTTTTGAGATTCATAACCAACAAAACAAGACAGAAAATATAGGCTGGATAATTTCTCAGGTCTTATATTAAAGTGTTTAATCATGTTGATTTTTGCAGCTGGTAAAAGACAGAAGTCTAGTTTCATTCTTCTGAAGGTGCATATCTCATTTTCTTATCATCACTTTATTTCACTTTGTAAAACTGGGCACTTTTATTCACCATAATGCTCCTGAAATCCTGCCAAGTTGCTATATATACCAACAGTCTACCTTGAGTGTAGTTCAGTTGCTATTGGTCTGTTAAGGCTTTCTGCTTCTTTATAACTCAATCTTGGTAAAGTGTATGTGTCCAGGAATCTGTCTACTTGATCTACGAAGTTTTCTATTTCTTTATGACTTAATCTTGGTATGATGTAATTGTCCACTTCTTCTGTTAGGAGCTTTGTCATGTAGGTATTCATAATAAACACTAATGACCCTTTGTACCAATTAGAATTTGAATTCGAGTTTGGAGAGCCTCCAGAACCTGGTCCAAATTGCTACTGCTTGATAATGCTACAAATGGGGAGAATGGTTTCTTACAACACTGACATCTACTTTGTGTGGCTATCTGGCCCAAGTGGATGGGAAGCTCAGGGTGCATGTATACCTTGACTATAGTTCTGGGCAACAGTGTGGGTATGTTAAATCAGTGCCCTGTAACATCAGAAGTTTCATACAACTTCCACTCCCGCAGGCGTGAGACTGCAAGGGGAATCCATGAAGAGAGGCGGCATGTTCCATAACCCTAGGCTTGAAATGTAAACAAACAATGAGTAAATGCCTTTCCTCCCTCACTAAACTGGAACTCCAGGATTCTTGACGTATCACATTGAACTCCAAAGCTTTTTTTTTTTGAAGTAGAGAAAATGCACCTAGATGCCCACATTCTTCTGCATGTAGAGACTGAAATAAAGATTACCAACTATGCCAAAGTCTGCCAAGTAAACTCTGCTCTCTGCACACCAAAATTTACCAACTAAACTTAAAGAACTGGGTTTACACTCCTAAGAACTTGGTGTCTATCATGCCAGTTTCTTGCCAAAGAAATAATGCTAAATAACTTGGAAAACAAAATTCTTCCAGGACCATGGGCTAGCCCCATGTTTCCCTTGTGTTTTCCAATTTTGACAAAAACCTGCACTATATGTAAAAACAACATTGAAGCTTTTCTCTGCAAGTCAACAAAGAAAGGAAATTACTTGTTTTGTGGTTTAAAGAATGGTACAAACATCTTGTGAGTACAGAATGCATAACTTGTCTAGTCTAGACTTGAACACCAAATCACAGCTTGTTTTGGTAGCAGTTCATAAGCCAACCATTGCTGGAGCCATCAAGTTAAAGCACTTCTAGCCTTAACTCCCCAAGACAAGCCTGCCTGGAGTATCTATTCTTGAGCTCTTCTCAGTCATAGAATAAACAACACTCAAGTCACTAGGATGACTTGAAGTGATAAACTGAGGGAGCTGAAGACAAATTACAAATGCACTATCAATGTAGTGTGCAAGGCTTAAAATCTAATATGATGCAGAAGTGATGCCAAGTGTTCACCAAAACATCCAAGTAACTATGTTTAAAAAAAAAAAACTTGAAACTGGAGTAAATCCATTGTCATGCCCACACTGGAGAACATCATCGGCCTTCCCTAAACCACACATCACAATCCAATCACTGTGTACACTGAGTAGAATCAGTCAATTGCAGCTAGGTTCTGAGCTAGGCAGTCAGAGAAATGTGCCTGCTACAATAGGATACTTTATGAGAAAGGGAAACTGCCAATCACCTAGCCTACTGACCACAAATTTTGTCATAGACAGACAGACAGATAGATCGACATACAGACAGACAGACTGACATAGATATGATAATATACAGACTGTCAGAGATATCCATTGATAGCTATATAATTATGTAGTCATATATGTCTATAGATACAGATATAGACACAGATACAGATACAGATAGAGACTTAGATATAGATATAATCTGCGGGGGACTGGTGGCTCATGCCTGTCTTCATATCTACTTAGGAGGCTGATATCTGAAAATCACAGTTTGAAGCCAGCTGGAGCAGAAAAGTCCAGGAGGCTCTTATCTCCAATTAACCATCAAAAAGCTGGAAATGGAGCTGTAGCTCAAATGGTAGAGTGCTAGCCTTGAGCAAAAAAGATTAAGGACTGTGCCCAGGCTCTGAGTTTAAGCCTAAGGATCTGCAAAAAATCAATAAATATAGATAGACAGACAGATAGACAGATAGACAGACAGACAGATAGATATCAGTAAGAACACATGCA